ATCCCTAAGCCAGCTTGAGTCTCACAGATGCCATAGGAAAACTGGCTATAGCTGATGGTATGCATACCAAGAGGGTAGGAAGAATAGTGGAAGGCTTGATTACAGGCATAGTATCAATATATAAAATAATAGTATCACTTATTCATTTGGTAATAGTTTAGTATTGGCTAATACTGAGAAACGTAGAGGGAAATTGTTTTCTGCAATTTGGTCTGTAGGAAAGATTGCAGGGAAGTCTACATGTGCTTTTTTTTGGTATCGGGGATCAAACTCGGGTCCTTGCGCTTGCACAGCAGGCGGCGGAAACCATACATATGCATTTTGATAAATACCCAAGTGTGTTTCACTTCGTATCCTAAAGAAAACAACTGTGTAGAGAGTCCATTTTTAACTGAATTGGGTTTCTCTTAGACACCGAGCACCACAGTTTGTGTCACTGTCCAAGGTACTATAAAATTGGGACTAAAAAGGGAACGACATCTCTTTCCAACATCATAAAGATCGTGTCCTCTGGAAACCTACCTACAGGAGAAGAAAAGAGAATAGGTAGCAATCGAGAAGTAAACTGTGCTACATGACATTGTAAATGTTGAAAATAAATGCTTCCCAAAATTATGCTTACTTCTTGAACACAAAGGAAATGAAAAATCCTGAATGGAGATGAAGAAGAGGGCGAGAGAAAATGATATGCTGCAGTACGCTAGGTTGACTTTAGGATTTAAAGCAGTTTGGATGTGAACAAATACAACTACCAACAGAGCAAAACCAATTTGCAGCAGCTCGTAACTGAATGAAAGGGATCTTTGAATTATGTAGATCGTGTAGATCTCTGTGTTTATAGCTTTTAAATTTTTCAGCCCCTCAAAACCCCAAATTCCTTTTAAAAATGAATCTCTGCTTTTACTTTTCTGTTGCTATAATTAATACATAAGTGAAGTCTACTTCTCAGCATTTGCCTCTTAAAATAGAAATAGCCAAGCTTGTAGCATTTTTACGTTAGATAAACATTAAATGCTGCCAAACCCCAAGAGTTGATAATTACGATGGTTAAATGTACTTTGTATGATATTTCTGGTACAAAATATTTGAAAGCCAGCAAGAAAAAATAATTTAAAATTCTCACAAATAATGAGAATGCAATGTAAATATAGTGTTTTTTTTCCAACTAAGGGCTTAGTCAATCTCTGTGCTTGCAGTTATCTGGTAGAACAGCTAATCTTCATTTTTTAATTTCTACATGTGTTCCTTATTACACATACATAAGTGCCCGCCACTACCCCTCCAGTTTCTGATATTTTCTAAAGAATTCAAAAGAAAGCAGGATCACACAATTTTGTGTGGAATAAAGCTTTTTTAAAGACAAGCAGAGATAGGTAGAGAAATGGAGAGATGGGTTGTCAAAGGGCACTAACTTTGCATTATGAGATGAATACGTTTTGGGAATCTAAGGTACAGCAAGGTGAAGATAGTTAATACTATGTATTAAATCCCTATGTATTAAAATTTGCTAAGAGAATAGATCTTAAGTGTTTTCAACACACACACTCATAAAGTGATAACTATGTGAGGTGATGGAAGTGTTAATTAACTTGATTGTAGTAATCATTCCACAGTGTGTGCATATAGCAAATAATTATGTTGTACACCTTAAATATATAGTCTTAAACAATTATATGTCAGTAAAGCTGGGGTTGGAAGAACAAGCAGAAATGCTATCATATATCTCATAGTCTCATAGAATTGTTGCTATTTCCCTTCAGTGCTTGCATTCTAGTTGTGTAGAATAGAAGTGTGAGGAGACAGTGAACAAACAGACACTAGGTCAGATGGCAAGTATTCCTGGTGAGTCTGCTTGGATAGTATTAGTGAAGGCAAGAATTATATTACATGTGTTTATTTTCATAGGTAGTGTTACATTTTTCTTTCATTTGAGCGTGAGGAATAAAAATTTGTTTTAACATGAAAAATAAAAACAAAAAAGAATTGTTACTGCAGGTTAGAAGTTCCTGTTTCTTAAAAAATCAGTAGCAAAAGGTAAAGGAAAAATGGGAAAGGAAAGAAAAGAGCAAAAGAACAAATTTCAGATTGGAAAAGAGAGGAAATACTGGGCCGGGGATTTAGCTCAGTGATTTCACCACCTGCTGCGCAAGCGCAAGGACTTGAGTTCAATCCCTGGTACCAAAAAAAAAAAAAAAAGAGAGAGAGGAAATACTAAAGGATATGTACTGCTCCACATTTTACTGTGTCAGGACAGGGCTGCCTTCTGTTTTGAGGATTACAGCACAGACTCAGATTGGAGAAGAAAGTTAATGGGCATGATCTCGAACACAGCTGTTGGCTGAAGCTGGGGACAGCAGGGTGATATAGGGGAAGAAATGAACAATGAAGCCCATTGGATGTACGTGGATTTCTCCATTTTCTCAAAAAGCTGATTACCTGCAAGTTCCTGATTCACCAACTCTTCTAACAAAATATTTGCCATATTTTATATTTGTTAAAGGTTATCATGTGATGTTGACATGATAAACAAGCTTTTAGGGGGCCAGGGATTTAGCTCAGTGGTTTCGGAGACTGCCTCACAAGCACAAGGTCCTAAGTTCAATCCCCGGTACCAAAAAAAATAAATTTAAAAAAAAAATAAACAAGCTTTTATTTCCCTTTGATTTATGTATTTATTTTGAAACTGTGCTGTATTTAGAGGGTGATTTTTATTCCTTGAAATTGTAAGCTATCAGTTTGATATTTATCCATCTGCCACCGTCCAACATTGATGAGGTTTTGCTATGTCCTGAAAGAAACCAAAAGTTGAGTGATAAGCTGAGGCCTTAGCCTTGAATAACAAAAATGGTGCATGTAGTTAGGATTGTGCCTTCTTCTAAGCTAGTTACTGTGTCATGTACAATTTAAGATGATTCATAGTTGGTAGTACCCATTGCTCCACGCACTGGGGCATAGAAATCTTCAGCCGTTTGTCATTTATAAAACCCTTTATTCTTTCCTCCCTTGTTAGCATTCAGCTGTCTTTCTGGATGAATGCACCACCATTTAGTTCCAAAACTGTTGTTCCTAGGGGAAGAGTGGGGCACTGTCTCCACACAATGTCCTCTGCTGTCTGTCCCTGCCTTTCTTCTCTCCTTGCGGTACCAGTCCTTTCCCATCTGAAGGCCACACTGGCCTGAATGTTTGCCGGGTGTTTGGAAGTGAGATGTCACCTTCTTAGAGAATAGACGCTGCAGTGGAATATAGTACAGTATAGGGCTGTGGTGGCGAACCTATGGCACGAAAGCTGCAGCAGGCTGTTTGTATCAATGAAAGCTCTCAAAGGTTCACCCTCACTGGTATAGGGATTAAGAATTGCCACTTACAGATGTCCCTCAGAACCCCAGGGGCAGTGGTTCCAGGACCCTCCATGGACACCTACATCCACAATTGCTGAAGTCTCTTCTGTAAAGGGCTATCTGCATGTAACCTGTGTGTCCTCCAGTGTACCCTAAATCATCTCTAGATCACTTACAATATCGAATGCAATGTAAATGCTGTGTAAATAGTTGTTATACTGTATTGCTTAGGAATAATGACCCCCCAAAATCTCTACACAGTCATTACTTTTTTTTTCCCAAACACTTTCAGCCCAAGGTTGTTTGAGTCTGTGGATGCTGAGCCTGCAGGCACAAAAGGCTGACAGGACCAGCTTCGACCAGTTATTCTACTCTGTACCTCTGACTTATCTCTTCTGTGGAATTAGCATCATCGTAGGGTTATTGTAAACTTAGATCAGTTTACGCATGTTAAAAACCCTCATAATACTGTTTGCCACACAGTGGTAGATCAGTAAGTTTCAGCTTCCATGCACATCAAAGAATTATCCAGTTTTTAAAAGTCAGTAGTGCCAGGTGAAGCAGTAGATGCCTGTAATCCCAGCACTTGGGAGGCTGAGGGAAGAGGATTGCTGTGAGTTCGAGGCCAGCCTGGGCTACATAGTGAGACCCTGTCACATTAACAGATTCGTTGCCAAGTAAGGTGGGAGCTTGAGTCTCACCCATTTTAGGAGCCCTGGGTGGTCTGGTCTCTACTAGGCCAGGTCAGCTGCACAAAAGTGCTAGTCAGAAGCCTGAAGGATTTTTTTTTTCTTATTAAAAGAAAAACTGCATCTTCTAAATTGGGCCCAGAGCTCCCCAAACTCTCTACATTAATTGGTTTTATTCAAAGTATTCTAGACCCCATGCTGAATGTATTTAAATTCCTTAAAGGCAGGGCAAGGATTTTTAACATGATCCTGTTTTCTCAGGCTGCCCTCTGTGACCTATACAAAACTCCCTTTTAAAGATAAGCCTAAGCAAAATTGTGGTACAAATAATGAATTCAAAGTTCACAATGCAATTTTTCACTGACTGAAAACAAGTAAATTAGGAGGACCTACATGTAACTCATCCTGAAATAATTTTTAAAGCTTTAGGGCTTGAATTCATTGGTTCTTCCTCTCTTCTTTGAGGATCTTTGGACTTTTTCAGAACTTGCTAAAAGTCAGTCTTCAGCCCACTGAGCAAAGCAACTGCACTCCATGCAGTTCACAATGGCCGCGTGTCTGTCCCTGATGACGCAGGGGGAGAAAACAGAGGTCTCTGCCTGGCTGATTCTAAATGACCGCTCTTTTTCAGAAGCTTCTGGGACGAGAACAAAGTCAGCCATAAGCATTGGGTTTTAATTGTCATTTTTCATGCATCTGGAAACCAATGGCAGAAGAGTCTGGAGAAACAGTAAATGATGCTTAGATGGTTTTGGTAAATAATTTTGGTGTTGATATGAGTTTCATGCACCTCCTATGTGGTGCTCTGGCTGAGCTTGAGACCCGAGACCAGGCTAAAGTTTAGCAACTATTTCTTAACCAGGAAAAGCCTCCCCTACTCCAGTCCACACCTATTTGAGCTTCACTGGCTCTTTTGAACAGAAGCTGTTCGCAGCTTTTACTTGGTTCAGTGAACAGAGTTCCTGTTTAAAAGCAGTGGCTGTGGAGTGGTGGTCTCTTTTCCCTTCGCTTTTCTCCCAGTGAACTTCAACTGTTGAGAAGTAAACAGCCCCTTCCCTGATTATTCAGTCTTTGCCTGGCTGTGGGACTCAAGCGAGAAGAGGGAGACATGCAGATATGTTGCAGCATATTCAAGAAAGGTTTTTAGGATGGAAGATGCTAAAATGGACTGTAAGTTCTCTGGCTCAAAATGTGTTTTGGAAACCTTAATAAGAATCAACAAGGATTGATCTTTAAACCTGTTATAACAAATTAACATTTAACAGGTAGAAGTATAGAGCAGGAAATCTTTTCATAGGTTCTCTTGTGAAAGGAAAACTAAAACTTGGTTTTAATTTTGTTAAAAAAAGAAATGCGGGAGTTTAACTAAAATGATCTTTGTTATGTTATGTAAGTTATGAATTTATACTTTAGTCTTTATGTCCTGGAAACTTGTGATAGCCTCTATGGAAATTAAAGGCAAACCATATTCATTCTCCATTTTCCTTGTTCCTACTTTTTACTTTTGGCAAAAGCAAAATGAAAATACTAACAACTTCAAGGGCCTTCTTAAGGAAACTGCTAGATGTGCAAACTACACACACACAATTGTGCTGTCCAAAGAAAATTTGGTACATAATTTATTGATATTTTCTTAGCCCTCTTAATATTTGTATCTGGACAAGATCAGCAGGATTTTTGCATTATGATTGCTTTCTATCTAGATGGGTATATTTGGGGAGTTATGCTTCTTTTGGTTTTTGGTTTTTTTAACTTAGTTTTGCTTTTTATCAGAGACATTGCCTACATTTTCTACTTATGAATGCTTTCATTTCCCTTGCAAGTAAATAGTGAATCATGTATGAATGTTACAGAGAAAACTACAAGCATTGGAATCTAATGTGCTACATTTTGGAAAACTATTTTTTTCACTTTGGTTTTTTTCTCTAAGAGTTTCCTTGCATGTTTCATCAAGCTTATGCTTTAAGAGTAATAATGATGCTTCATTCACTAAATTATTATCTATTAAAGTATATATGTTCATTTTCATACACAGCATTTGCAAGTTTTATTATGAAACACTGCTCTAGAAAAGAAAGAGGAATTGTATGTGGTTACTGGTACTATGTTTAACAACCATGAAGAGATGGGTTATTAGAAGTATCTTTGGAGTTGGATGTTTTAGCTCTGACATTTACTGGTTTTGTGATGTCAGAAAAATTTATACTCCGTAAGTGTGTTGGTATCATACAATGGGATAATCTCAAGTTTTGAAGGAATTATATACATACAGTACATTAAAGATGAGCAAAATGCCTCCCTTAACATTTTTTCAGTTAAATGACTTTCAAATTCTTTTTGCCTTTAATGACCCTATTTTATGGAGACATATCTTCCTAGTCACAGGACTGGGGCTCAATGGTAGTAGCCCAGCATGCTGAAGGGTCTGGATTCTGATTCCCCAGTACCACCCAATAAAAGTTTTATATAGTATTTAAGTACTAGAATAAGGTATAGTTGGTGAGTAAGTACTGAGTTTCAGTATTATTTAAATGTGATAAAATAAGATTGCTAACAGTTTCAAATACAGGTTACTCAGTAAGGAAACTGGATAAATATCCAACTGATAAGTTGAAATTGAGGGGGCAGATTTTTTTTTTAAATCCAGATAATTGGTCAGAAAATATAAAAATACTGCATTTTTACTTGGTGCTGGATTTTGGTACTACTTTTCCATTTTCCATCTTTTAACTTGATTTTGTGTAGATCCTGCAGAAGCAGAAAACATGTTTCATGTTTCCATAAATTCAGATTTCAGGGTAAAAACCGTGGCTTTATCTGGGGTAGAAGTGACAGAGCTGCAGCCCCACTGCCCACTGACGGAAGTGCACACAGTTGTGGGGAAAGAACCTGCTTTCACCATCCAGCCACTCGCCGGAGAAAAGGGGAGTCAGGAAGGAGTGACCCCTCTAGACAAAAGTTGTCCTCTGCTGTGTTTGGTTCTCCTTGGCACTGTCCTCTTACTGCTGCTTTATGTGTATGGTCTCCTTCCTGCACTGGAATGAATGATCCATGAGGGTAGAGAATTTTGTCTGTTTTGTTCACTCTTGTATCCTGAGTACCTAGAAGAGTGCCTGGCAACCAGCAGCATCTAAGCAATCCAACCCTAGTCTTTTCAAAAGAGCAAAGAAATAGGAGAGGACACACCTAAACTTTTTATTAATTCCACTAAATGACCAAAACAGATACTATTTTATATAAAATCAAGAGTCTCACTACAGGAGAATGTGCTAATTATGTCTATAGCTGACAAACCACATTGATCTCCTCCAACTTTTACAACAAAGAAAGGTCAACAGAAGTGTTAATATCTAGTTATAAATGATGAACAGTGTTTCCAAGGAGAAAAGAAAGCCAGAGAGCTTACTTCCTTCGCAAAAAAGTGTTAAATATACTCTAAGAAGATAATTTCATGATAAAATGCCAGGGCATGGCTCAATAACATCCTTTCTCCTTGTAGGAGAGCAGCCTCCCTCATGCACTGAAGGTCACGTCGCTGGCACTCAAGCTCCTTTACCGGGAGTTTATGTTGGCTATGTTGTAGATGCTAAAAAGCTTGTTAAACAAGGCACGGAATAAAACACCAGCCATCCTCCAATTTACACTGCATCTACAACTTGATCAAGACAGAGTCAAAAGACTAAATGTGAAAACAGCCCCAAAGTGTACTGTTAGTGTGAAGACAGGCAAATCTCACTTTGCCTCTGAGCCTTAGTCTCTTCCTCTAGGAAATAGCAGCGATAATGCCTGCTCCAGCCAACTTAGAATGGTCAGGTGAGGTTGTATGTGAAGTGTTTTATAACCCATAAAGCACATTATACAATGTTGCTTGGACATAAACTAAAAGTGCAAGTTCTCAAATAATTTTAAAGCATGATGGTTCTGTATGTGTCCAGATACTATTAGTTTTGGTGGGGGAAACCTCACCAAAGCAGTAAAAATACTAAGGTACAAAAGTTCTTTAACAGCCAGGCATGATAATGCATGCCTGTGATCCTAGCTACTCAGGATGCTGCTGTAGGAGGATCCCAAGTTAGGCCAGCCCGGGCAACTTTAGCAAAACCCTGTCTGAAATAAAATTTTTTAAAAGGTCTAGGGATATAGCTTAGTAGTAGAGTGCTTGCCTGGCACAAGTAAGGCCCTGGGTTCAGTCCCAAGTTCCAAGAAACAAAAAAGGTGAGAGAGAGAATAGAAAGAAAGAAAAGAAAACACCATAATGTAGTAGTTAAAATAATGGGTTTTAAAGTTAAATTGATATGGATTTTAGTCAAAATTTAGCCATTTACACTGACAAATTACTTTCTTGAACCTTAGCTTTCCTTTCTGCATGGTGGGGAAAGAATTACCTAGTGTGCAATCTAATTGTGAACAATAAATTGAGTGTCATTTAAGCCAAGTTTAATAAATTGGTAAAGTTTGAGGCATCTAGTACAGTCTGAAATATAGAAGATACTCAATGAATGACAATGCTATTGTGGTCATTATCTTAATTTATAAGTATCATTGGATACTGCATTGTCTTTTCAATGATACAGATAAACTGTTGGCCACTATTACTCTGAAAACCTAATAGAAATTTCCTTAGAGAAATGATTCTGATTTTCTTTCACTTACTTTTTCTGAGTGTGGTGATGCTTATTTAAATTAAGTGGTCTTTGAAACAAATATCAATAAAATTAGTTTTCAAATACCATCATTCAATCACCTAAACCTCCTAAGGTCTCAGAGTTTGTTAGGTTAAATGGAGTTTAATGTGACCTGTCCACAGCAAACCACACGGATGTTAATAGGGAACATGGACCGGCAGGTGTGTTTCAAGGACAGAAGTTAAAGTTCTTCTTCTAGGAAATGAATTTTTCACATGAAACTTTTATGTACACCAGCCAAAGAGTCAGTCAAACTTAAAGATAAAAATCTGCTGCATATGTTCTAACAATGAGATAGAATGAAAAAAAATGGAGAGACTTGAAAGGAACATCAGAGTAGTAATATACATGGTCACGCCACCTGAAGGGGCTGAAAGTCCAAGCCTGAGCACTTACAGTCTAAGGTACAGGCCGTATAGTACCACCCACCAATCAGTTCTCATAGCATTTTGCCAAGTTGCCTGGAGAATATTCCCAGAACTGAAATCTTAGAACTGAATTGCAAGTATTTGTATACCATCTTAACAATATAATTTTTTTTCTCAGAACCTCAAGGTAACATACATAAATAAATTTTAATTGACCTGCAGGCCAGTTGATCCTTCAAAACTTAGGATTTGATTTTTAGTACATAAGAATACAGACATGAACAATTAGTATGTGGCTGGTTGGCATAAACAGAAAGTTTTATACTGTTTTGATACCCAAGGCAGTTTGTTCACTAATAAAAGTCCTAATAGTGATTAGAGAGGATAATCTAAAGTGAGTAAATAAACTTCATGGTATTTGTAGTTAGAGGTGTTGATCTATACCTTTTTCAAATATCTAAAACAGTTTTTTTGGTTTTCTGTTTTGTTTTGTTTTACAGAGACAGGATCTCACTAAGTTGACCAGCCTGGCCTTGAACTCATGATTCTCTGCCTCAGCCTCCCAAGTGCTGGGATTACAATTCTTAAAGTCATCAGCATTCTTAACTAGAAGTTTTTTTCCTTTAAGACCCACTATTTTAAAGGATCATACCAAGCTGTGTGTGGTGACCCATGCCTAGCACTCTGGGATGGTGAAGCAGGAGGATAACAAGTTTGAGCCCAGCCTGCTCAACTGGAAGAGACCTTTTCTCAAAAGGGGGTAGGTGGCTGGGGTTGTAGCTCAGTGAGAAGACAGAGACAGACACAGACAGAAAATGCCATCAACTAATTCTGCTTTAGAATGTTCGGTTATATAAATGTGTTCTTATTATCTTATCACAGACAAAATAAAATTGCCTGGCCTGAATAGCAAGTAACATGTGATGAAGGGCCAAAAAGGTAAAAGTTAATATTTAAGCTTCCCACTTTACTTGATCTAATATTAACAATTCAGAGGTTTCATGTTTTTCTCTTAGTCTGACACTTATAAGGCACTGAGTCAAAGGTTAACATTTTTATGTAACATTACAAGATTTCTTGGGATGGGGTGTATCTCAGTGGTAGAGAGCATTGTGGG